GAGTAACAACTTTTTTTTTTCGCCTACTTAGAGATGCATCGTTGATGGCTATGAGAAGGCGTATTGAAGGCTTGACGCCAGAAGAAATAAGGAATCTTTCCCGAGATGAAATGCACATGCCAACAACTATGGAAGACTTTGAAATAGCTTTGAAGAAAGTTTCTAAATCTGTATCTGCTGCGGACATTGAGAAATATGAGAAATGGATAGTTGAATTTGGATCATGCTGAGTTGTCTTATCTTGAAGAAGCCACCTTATGTCTTAAAACAGCTTTAGAAGTACTAAGTAGTGTGTCAACGCACTGCGTGCTCTTTTTAACTTTTGTAATTTAAGAGCAACAGATGTCTAAATAAATTTTTTTAAAATGCAAGTTCTGTCTAGCTCTCTTTGAACTAGCTCAAAAGTTACCCGTTTTTTCCTGAATGTGAAACTGATGTTTTTTTAAAGTCTTGATCTTCAGGACTTTAAAACGACTAAATTTAATACTTGACCTCTTGCATCAGAGGGTTTACTCTTGAAAAATAGCTATTACACCAAAATCCCCCAAACTAGCTCAGCAAAATGAGTAAGGGATGCTGAGAACTAAAAAATGGGACAGACAACATACAGTTATGTAGACAGGTTTGCTAGCTGATCTTGGAGAATTCTACCCTTAAACTGTTTCTAAGGTATTAATAAAGAACCTGTTATGAAGGCTGAGATTTAGAACAGCAACCCTTGTGCTACTGACAGTCGGTAGATTCAACTGAAGTTTAAGCAAGGTGGTATCATCACTGGTGTACAGTACTATTAAGTAATATTAAAATACATCCAGCCAGTGTAAACTAAATCTGTGCAGCCAGCAGCGATGCAGAGTCACATGTGTAGTCACCTTCGAGGTCTGAGAGAAAACAAAACCTTTCTGGCATTCTGAATTACGTTTTTTCTTCCATGACTCTATGGTACTGTAAGCTTCAAAACTCTGCATGGGTAGGTTGGGCCCTGGTTTACACTACATGTTTATTCTGGTAAGGCTGTTCTGAGAAAGCAGAAAGCAGTGTGTGTGTTATGCTAGTGCTCAATCAATTTCTGTTCATAACCCTGACTTTACAACTGATGTAAAATCTAAATTCTCTTTTTGCGTTACTTGACAAGTGGAATGGAGAAGCAGTTCTCTGAGAACGGTTCTACAGTGGCCATTTAGGTCATCATTTTAGATTTTGCTCAACAGTGGTCATTGTAAGGAAAACATCTATCATCTCCATCTATTACTTTAGAAACCCGTCTTCTGCTAGCTCAGCTCAGAGCAGCCAGCTGTAGCTCTGCTTACAGCTAAACTTCATACTTTCTCTCGTCAAATATGTCCAGACTTGTTTCAGCTGGTAGGTACATGCTGTACAAAACTAGCTGTGGAATTCCTGCTCATGCCTCTCTTCAGATGCTTGCAAGGCAGACAGAAAGGGCAAACAGTAATGGAAAGGAGAACTGGCACCTGGAGCAGAAGGCAAATGAGGTGTATAAATGCCACTATTGTGAACGTCTTGCTAATGTACTTAAAATTGACTGTGATGTTGTGAGTGACAGCTGGACACACTGAAAAGGGACTTTCAGCAGTGCCAATGATGAGACACCAGTAAGACGCTGAGATGCAGATGCTGTTGAGAGCTCCTGAATCCCCGGGTGGACCTGGCGTGGTGAACCCAGAAACGAAGGGAAGATGTCCAGGTAAGTATACAAGCGTGTGTTATTTGTATACATGTGAAAGATGTACACTTTCATCTCCAAAAAGGAAAACAAATGTACCTCTTTCTTTTCAAAAGGCTAGCTTCATGTGTCAGAGTTAAGAAAAGGATGCAGCATTTTGAAGAAGCAGGTTCCCTTAATACTTATTTTTCTGTTCATACGTTGAGTATATAGCTATCAGTTAGTTGCAGGAGGAGATTTCTTCTGATAATTCATTGCAAGCAAACCAAAATACTCAATCTGTCACCTGAGTACAATGGGAAAGTGCACAAGCTTTAGTCCTTGGAAGCAGTCCAGTAAGGAGCCACTTCAAGCATCATATATTTTGAGAACTTCAAAAAGTAAACTTAATTTTAAAAGCAGGAGTTTAGTTCTACAGCTCAACCAGCCCTGTTCACTCTAAATGAATGAAACTGACACCTGCGTAACACATGGTAGGTGGAGGAAAAAAAGTGGTAGATGCTGAATCTGTAGCTCAGAGCTTCATCTTGTTTTGGAACGCAGAACACGGTGACACCTACCCCCTCCGGTGGAGCTCCCGTGTGGAGGGCAGGGCCAGCGCTGCGTAACTCCCTGCGTTCGACGGGCAGAGGGGCTGCAGCGAGGCCCACAGCTCAGGAGGAGATGGGAGATGCTGCCTTTCTGAAAAATCTGCTGCCATCCAACAGCGTGGGGGTTTTGAGGGTTTTTGTTTGGACTTTTTTTTGGGGGTGCGTGTTGGTTTGTTTTCCCCCAGCTGGGAACCTGTACCCTTGTCAGCTCGTGTACTGGGAAGATGAGACCTACCATGACAGCCATGCAGAACATTTGCCCTTTCCTAATTCTGTTAGTTGTAGTCAGGTGTTTTTAAACTGTTTTGTAAATGGTTCAGCATGGTCCCAGCTCAAAGTAGCACTCCTCTGAAAGGCATGAGACACTTATGACTCGGGAAAATGACATATATGTTAAAGCAGAATGCTAGTGCTATTTAAGACTTGATAGCTCCAGGTCCGTAGCACAGCAATGTTGTCTGGTAATCGATTTGTTCAAAATTTGCACCTTTTTTTAATTATTTAATTTCATTAACCTCATGGTAGTATTTCTTTCCTTGTGCTTTGTAACGTTATAGAACACAATACAGACGAGGACTACTTAGCTCATGGAAGTCAGCCAGGCTGTGAAAGGGTACTAAGGCTTTTTCAGGCTTAACCACTCATTTGCTTCTGTTGCAGCTGTTTAGAATAGAGTTAACTCTCGTGTTGCTGTGCAGGTGCTTGGTTTCCAGTTTCATAAGTAGGGAGACAAAGAGCACATGCTAGCAGCTGCTGCATTTCCATCTGTAGTGCGATTCACACTGCTTCTGCAGTAAGGAAGAATTGCCATGTTTCGTGTCTATCCTATTCCTTGTTGTTTGGGGTTTTTTTCCCCAAAGAAGCTAAACTTCAGCCTTATACATCACTTCTATTTGAACTATGTTAATAAAGGGGCCAGGGCTGTGTTCATAAAGTGGAAAGAACATTAATTTCCACGTTCATAAAGAGGAGTTTGCCAATGGCTGTTTGAAGACCGTGCTGTGCAGTTACCATTCCTGTGCTGGAGTCTTAGCGGTTTCCCATTTAGCCATGGATGACGACAACCCCTCTGTCCTGTGTTTTCTTTCACTGCATCACATTCTTAATTCAGATGCCTCTGCAGCTTTAGCATCACCTGTGTGGTACATGGTTACGGTAGCTCCCTTGCGGTAGTGTCCTGGGAAGCGCTGGGACGTCAGTCGCTGCTGCTCGCTCCAGACCAGCAGAGCAGCTGCCCTGCTGCAGCGCTTCCTGCCCAAAGCACCAGCCTTACTCAGCTGGATACCTGGCAAACGTTTGGGATCTCAGGCTCTGGTGACACTGAGCTTGAGGAAATAAATGCAAAGTACAAACCCACAAGGTGCTAGAACAACAAAATTAAAAAAAAAAAAAGAGGAAGCGTGAGCAGTGTCACTGTTACCTTGGACTGACGTATACCACGCTGCGCTGCTGGGGTTTTTTTTGTTGGGTTTTGTTTTGTTGGGTCTTTTTTGCAAGGCAGTTCCGTGCTAGAAATGTTTCTTCTCCCACTGCAGTGCTGTCAGTTCAGTGAGACAACTTGAGTTGTTCCTGTCACAGCCTAGCTGTGAGGACACATACCTGAATAACTTGGAGATCTCATTAAACTTACAATAATCTTTCCTTAAGGGTGGAGGGGAAATCATAGCTTTTCTCCCTCACTACAACCACTTAAGCTGAACATTGAGAATTCTGATCACTCAAATGATGACTGTCTAATGCCAGGTAGTTAAGGTTCTTTTTTTATTCCTAGTCATTCTTCTGACAAAAAAGTTTGGTAAATAAGAACAATGAAAAGCTAAAACCCAAACAGTACTAACTACATTATGTGTAACTAACACATTTGGCAAACTGCTACTTTATGTAACTAAATATACATGAACACACACGGACACAGTCTAATAAACAATTTAAATGTTTATTTGAAAAATGTTAACAGTACAAATTGGCATGGGTAGACTGGGCCTACCTAGCAATAGTAAGCCAGTACTTCTGTAGAATTTTGTAGGATTTTCTTTTTGATTTTGAGACTTCACATAGCACTGCTGTCACAGATACAAAAAGAACATTGTTTAGAAGTGCTAACAATTTTTATGAGTGGAAGGGGCCATAAAAGTGTAAAGTGCTTGAAATATAAGTCCGCCTTTTTAGTTTTTGTTTTGCACATATAAAATGTCAAATTACTTGAGTAACACAAATGTTTGGTAGTGATATTTTCCTTGCAAGGCACACTCAACCCTAAGAGACCTGAAACCAGGCTGGGCAGCTTTGTTTAAGCTTGCAGACACAACTGATGGTTGTGATACTCCTTCGTCCTTTTCTGAAGAATGCTATCTATCTGGAGACTTCAGGACACCCTCAATGTCATCATCTCGCTGTTTGGGATAGCTGACCTGGTTTATCTATGGGCATGAAGGCAGCCAACATCCTGTCCGAGGTGTGGAAAAGTGACTTCACAGAAGTTAAAACCAACGGTAGCCCTCAGGGTGGAAAGCTGTTTTATTCTTAAGCTTCTGAAAAGGCTGCATGTTTACAGAGAGGCACAGGGAAGTCAGCTCTGGGCCTCGGCTTGAGTGTCCCTTTACCAATTAATCAACTGACTTAGTTTTCTTAGTAGGAAGCAAACAAGGTAATAAGATCAAGTGCCAAATATCAGGTCAACTAAAAATTTGTTTTTAAAAAACAGTAGCTCCAAAGTAAACACAGTATTAAGTACATGCTTTCTCATCTAAATTATTTTTCCTGTCTGGAAAATCTGAAGGCAAGCTGATGGTAATCACAGGTACAAAGCTGACTTGATCCAGGAGAAGGATGCCTCTGAAAGGTAAGATTACCTGGCATTAGAAACAATACACAAAACAATTCTGTGTTCTAAAAATTAGATTTATTCTTAAACTCCCCAAACTTAGTTTAAATCAATGCACAATACTTTAAAATTAATTTTAAGTATTAACCTCGTAATACCTCTTTTGTAAAGCTAGAGTGAATATTTGATGGAAAACTGGTTCCACAATGTACTGGCTGGTTTCAGAGGGGTCCCTTCACGCTGTTTCTACATCTGAAATACCAGCAGTGTAGGCTCTATATGCTCAATTTCATAGCCTAAAACTGGCTGCCATCAGGAGCTAGTGTCAGGCTCTTGCACCTAATTCTCCAAGACTAGCTAAAGCCTCTAGTTTTATCAGCGTACTGTAAAATGGCATTAAAGACTCGGGATGAGGTCCTGGCTCACATCTGCAACTGTGTCATTCACCAAATGAGATCTACTCATTCTTGCTAGGTTAGCATTAAACCTTGAGCACTTTATACAGGTAGCAAGAAAATGACTCTGTGGTTTTTGGGGAGGTTTTGGGGGTGCTTTTTTGGTTTGGTGGTGTTTTAGGTTTTTTTTTTTTTAAAGGCAGGGGAGGACAAGCCTTCCAGTGTTAACTGTTTCTTGAAGTGCTCTGACAAGCTTAAGCACAAGCTCCATGTTCTCCAATTAGAAGAGAAACTTCTGCAGGCTGGTTCCTCTGCTCTCTGCTGACCTCTGCCATGGACAGGCCATCAGACACTTTACTGAACAGTTTATGGGGATTAGGATCTTTTTCCTAGTTCTACTTAGTTCAAAGTTTCACATGTGACAGTGTTAAGCTACTTACTACCCTGGGAGTACAAAGTGTTTCTCTTAACAAGTTAGTTACAAGAAGTACTCCAAACTGACAGCATGCTTTGTGAAGCATCGGGGTCTCTTTTGTCACTGCAGTTTCCAACCTTCATGATCTTCCAACTCTCCCTTTTCCTAGCTGCATCAGAAGCACTAAGGCCACTTGCATCCCTGGGTGGATACATAAATTAAGCGCACTCAGGGCCATTCAGAAGCACAGCTGGTCAACTGGATTTGAAGACACCAGCTGTGCTTGTGGGTGATGAAGCACACCACACTGTCAGTCACTTCTCCTGAAAGAATGTGTGGTTCCAAGGGTTAGGTCTTCCACAACTGACTTGGGTTCCTTTAAAATGTACATGCTTGCCATTCCAGTGCCATTCCAGCACTAAATCTATACTGATTTCTGAGCTGCAGTTATTAATTCATCTTTCCACCTCTTGTTTTGAGAGCTTGCATCTCCAAAAAATGTTAGTGTTGCTGGTAACAGACCAATTGAGTGAATAAAGCCATCTGCAGTCAATAAATTTTATTTTGCCACCAGTGCTAGCACCAATTGCTATGGCTTGTAAGCTGCCTACATAGATAGCTCCTTCTTGGGGAATTCCCCTACAAATTTGCAAAGACAGATTTGAGGCCTTTCATAACTACTATAATAACTCCAACACAGTAGGGATATGAAAAGGTTTAGAGCTGTTGGAATTGTTTAGCTCTAGCTTCTACCCTTCTCTCTCAGAGCTATGTTAATGATGTCGCACAATGTAGTCCTTAGAAGGCTTGATAAAAATTTGGCAGGATGACAGCCAAGCTAAAGACATTTCCAATGAAAGATTTTCCCATGCTCCTCTGAAATGCCTGTGTGTCAAGAGGTCACTTGGAATGGAAAGTTACTGGTGCCTTTTCACCAAATTGCTGCCATCATCTTCTTAGAGAATGGGGCTGCTTCTTGAAAGACTTTTTTTAGCTCATGTTTTGCCTTCATCAGAAAAAAAAAATAGCAAAAATTACTTACTTGTTTTCACAGGAAGGGAAAATCACCTTTAAGACTTTGAGAATAAGAGCTGCTCCAACAACTCCAACTACAATGACTTCCATGAAACTAAAGAAGATGGGTAAAGATCGAAACCAGAATCTGCATAATCCTTTTCTCAAGTCTTCCACCCACTGGCACATCACCTGCAGCCAAATAGGTAAAAATAAAAAGACAGGTTGCAAAACATAACAAGTAAAGTTTTTGTAGCTACTGGTGAATCACATTACACGGTGATAGTTTTACTTGAAATTATGTATGCGTAAGCATACATAAAAGCAGGACGGAATTGACTGGTGACTCAGACCTCTTTTTTCCACAAAGTTTGGAACAGGTGAAGGTTTAGTTCTCTGATCCTCCTAGCAGAACTCCCTGCAAGGAAAGGACACTTTGGAAAAATAAAGGACACTCCAACAGAGCAGGTGAAGGGTGAGCTATTTGGCCTAGGCGTAGAGCAGCTATGATAGCCTGGCAGTGTACAGCAGGGAAAGGGTTACCCACACCTGGGGAGAGGTGTAGCTCCTTCTCTAGCCTGCCTGTAACTTTCAGCCTACTACTTTGGCCCTTCTGTCTCAGCAGTAAGTTATAAAGTGTTTCCTTCTGCCACAGAAGCAGCCATCAAGCCCATGCCTACCTAACCTGGGACTGAAACTTTTCAAGCCATTCCTGTGTTTCTTATGGCAGGTGTGATCAATGGCCCGTCTCCCAGAGGTGTAAGCACTCAAGCAGAGTCAGGAAAAAATGATGTAATTTAAAGGTAAACAATATTTGAAATTGTTATAAATGCTTAGCTTGGTACAATGTAAATATCACAACTCCCTGTCATGAAGTATCTGTGAGGTCAGGACATTGCAGGATTTAGAAACCCATTTGATTTGTAGCGGAGTTAAAAAAAAAACAAACAAAACAATCTAACAATTTCTCACTAAGGGGTAATTTAGGAAGGTTTTCGGTTTTTTAAGTTTCCTAGAGTATGTCTGTAAAAGTCTGTTCTTCTTCGTGGTTGGCTGGGGGGATTTCTTAGATTTCTGTGGAAGTCAGTTACTGTCAGATACCTCGCACAATAGAAAGTCCCAGTCTTTAACAAATACAAATGAGCGAAACAGCACTCTGAGAAGTCAATACTAGGTTAAACAGGAATGGCAATTATCTCTTCCAGAAATGAGTTATTACATACTATGTTGCTTTTCTTTTTTTCCAAATTAAAAATGAAGGACCAAAGACAAAGGCCTAGGAATGTTATATACCTTCTTACTATCTTTAAATGGATATTGTGTTTGGTCTTTACACCAGGAAAACCCACTATCTGAATCCTAACAATGCTGCGTTTGGTTTGTTCTGTAAACATCCACTAGGATGAAAACATAATATTTGTATGTTTCTGTAGATAATACTGAAAGTGGAGAAGGAAGTTTCTTCCCTCAAACTGTAATATTGAATAACAGTCAGCTCTATCTGCAGCATGTCACTACAACTTTTCCTCCTAGAAATGTCACCAAGCGGTATGCATGTAATCTCTGGGGAAACAGGTGAAAAAACAGAGGAAGTTAAAAAACTTGTTTCTCCTTTTTAGACCAGTCTTTAAAGGCATATACTAATCATTAAAAGAAACAAACAAACAACAAAACTACCTTGTATGATGATGGAGGTTCTATCCTAAGAGGGGTCTCTGGTAACTTGCCAGGTAACGTCTCTTCATCTACTGTAGTTTCTACTTGCCGGATGAGGTACTGACTGGTAGTTTGCAGTGGATCTTGAATATCTGAAGAAGAAAAGCTAGATGTAGCGGGGGGCTTGCTTTTTATTTGACTCATTATTCAGGAAAACAAGGACATGCTGCATTTCTATACTTACAGTACAGTTCTCACAGGTTTACAGTGAGAACACAGAAGGCTGACTTTTTTGGTTTTGACTTGTAGTGAACTTGATAAGAAGCAGAAGCAGTGTTACAGTGCAGCCCTTAGCTGTAAATTTCAGCTGTCGCCAGATTAAAAGGTGATGAACTAGATAAAAATATTCATCTCCTATGAAATCCTTGAGAGTGTTTGATTAAACAAAACTGAAATAAGACTAAGGCATCAAATAACTTCTCTTCCTTTTAAGTTATTCAAATTTAACAACATAAAACTATTCTCTGGTTTGGAAGTGACCCAGACAGGTATTTCCTCTCCAGTTTTCTCCTTCATCCTCAGGAAAAAGGGGGAGCTTTAGAGAAACCTCCATCATAGCAACGAGAGAGAAATTTATTCCTGTGAGATGTCTGGGTTGCAGATTGACAAGTACCAAGTGCTTCAAAGGAGAACAGAGTTGAAAACAAACAAAATACCTAGAATGTAGAAGAGTTGAATTTAGGTGTTTAAAAAAAAAAACAAACAAACCACATAAAGCAAAACACTTCCCTGTTAATGAAGAAACCGTTTCACTATGTAAAACACAGGAATAATGATGATCTTGTGCCCTTGTAAAGCAATACATCAACTACGGATAAAAGTACATAACAGCTAAGAGAGATACCTTTTCCTGAGAGGTTGGGAAGTGTAAATAACACGTCATTGTCCCTTGGTATAGAATACAGCATGCTCTCTTTCAAGGGGACAGTGTAGTTGGAGTGTCTAAGTACTCTCAGGTCCTTTACCAAAATATCTATTTCTGTTACTTCTTCCTGTTGAACCTACGAGAGACACAAATGTTGATATTACTGAGTTTAAAGTAAGAGTGAAGTAGGCTGGCAGAGAAAACCAATACATGTCACAAAACTCCAAGCCATTAAGATTTAGACATAGGGATGTTATAATATGAATTAGTATTATTTGGTTTTACTTACCACACTTCTATAGACTATACCACATTAGAAAATATGCTGAACAGACTAGGTCTCTCTCCCTGCAAAAGCATGTGGTAGTCACTCCATGGGCTTTTAACCAAGTCTTACATAGCTCATTACAATCCTCTTTCAGGGAGGCATTTTAGGGCATGGAAAACTCAAGCACATAGTGAAAGAGCACCTGTAAACATTGAAAGTGTTGCTGAGGCAAGACGGACACTTCTGCTTTTGCAGTAAGGTTGGTTTTTTTTCAACAACTTGAAAGAATAGGTTTTTTCTTCCTCTTCCAGTGATGCACTGGACCCATTTCATTTAATAATATAGAACATATTCAGCGTAAGTCCTAGTGACTTCAATAACTGTATTGTGAGGCCAAGAACTGACAGAAATCCAGAGTGTTTGTGACCATTACTGTAACTGCTATGTAGAAATATAATTATCAAAAAAGGAATGCAGCATGTGATACAGTTTCACTCATGCTTTCAGAGCCATAGGCTAACCAATGGTCTCCTTTTGCTTCAAACATGCGCAGAACAATGCAATGAAACAGATGATCATTACTGTCAGCTGATAACTAATGAGAAAGATTGAAAGCTTCTGACTTAAAGGAACAATTAAGGAAACAGCATTAGCTTTCTGGTTATTCTTACCAGGTTCCTGTGAAAATCTGAAATGCATTTTGATGTCTAGTTTGAAATCTGAAATACAGCACTACTATTGTGTAACAACTTTATCAAATCAGGACATATTCCCCTCCTAGCAGTGGGATAAACACCTCATCAGAAAAGCTTCAAACCTCTCAGTGGGATTTTTCATTAACAAAGTAAAATTTTGACATGATGCAGGTTCCTGTAAAAAATGCTACATGCTAGGCATGCAATTAATTAAGGACCAGTGGTATTATCATCATTTTCCTTTAAAAAAAAAAAAAGGGCAGCAGAACATAATCCAGCTTCAAAAGAGTCTGGCATTCAAAAGATGCAGACATGTACTGAAATAAAAATTTGACACTTTTGCTGTCTTCAGCAGCTGTAAACATGCCAACCAGACACGTGTGAACATTTTAATCCTTGGTAACTACTTGCCCCTCCTAAATTAAAAACAAGCAGAATGTTGGGGTCTTTTTTTACCTGTTTTCCATCAATTTCTGTCACTTCTTCCTGAATGACAATCAGCTGCAAATCAGAACTGGATGCCAAAGGCCACTCGTGAACCATGATGCGAACGCTGACAGTTCCCAGGCGCTGCTGATCTGGTAAGTTATCCAGGTTTCCATTCTCCACTGTTAACATACAATGTCACTGTTTTCAAAGAGAAACCACCCCAACCAGAAAGCAGTATTCAGCTGTGGGGCAAACAGTTGCAACTCTGACACAGGTGCCTTTGCACACGTAGCATGTGAATGGTAAAGTCATTACAACTACAGAGGACCACTAGCATCAAACCAGAGACGCCCAAACAGTTGTACGGAAGTCTGTGCTCTGCTGATGTCCTTAACACTTCGAGAAACTGCTATTATAAAGAAGAAGGAATCTGGGCAACAGGTAAAACAGATGCCATGATTTTTTACCAGTATATCACCAGCTCAAACTGGGAGCGCATGATACAAGACAGCAGACAACAGCAGCACTGTATGATCCCCAGACTGAAGGAGCTTGCAAACAATGCTGCATCCCTGCGTTTGAGGTTTGCATTTAAGCACTCTAAGCAGCACTCTTTGGCTTCACTATTGTTGTATTCTTATTTTAGTTGTCCAAAGGAGTTCATAGAGTAATGCCACAGCCCTGCCAGCCACCTGGGTAAACATCTTGAGTTGCACAGCATTCCCCTTCCTCTCAATACAGAAACAAATACGCTCTTTTCCCTGCACACTGCATACACTACTCAAGATGAGCGTCATGTTTTCTCTCATACGTGACCGTGACACCTCAAACTCTCTTCCTACCCAAAAGCTTTCAGCTATGTCAACAACCTAATTTTCCACAAGCACACAGAGAACTGCCTTCCTACCCTCGCTGTTTTTGCATAGAGTTAGTACCCCCTCCTCAGCTACCGTGCCTCTACTGCCGGCGAGGGTGTGCTAGAACTGAAGTGCTGCAGAAGGACAAGGGTGGCGGCGACAGATCTCTCCAGCAGGTAGCAAGGTACACGAGCTGAGACCGCACTGCTCCTTGTTTCTAAGCGCCTAGTGCTGTGTGTCACTGGCAGAGCTGAGCCTAAGAGGCAACCTGGGGGAATGTCGGACTAGTGTCTTCCAGTTACACAGTAACAACTCAGCATGTTCATTACTTTTATGCAATGACCCCTTTCCTCATAAAGCTGTTTTTCTTATTTTAAATATAGAAAAATAATTTTTGGCATCATTTAGAAATATCTTCCATTGTGAAAATAAGTGGCAGAAGGAGAGAAAGAGGTTAGAGAGAAAGAGAAAGGCTGCCTATAGGTGTGAGCCAGAGCACTAACCTGGTTGCTGAATGTTTTCCAACTTACAGCAGCATGCATACATTAAAGGACCAAAGCCTGAAAGATGCCAAGTTGCTGAAGCTCCCTGTGGTCCCAACCTTTCATGTGTTCAGGCTGCTCAATCCCCACAACATTCAACAGGAGTGAAAGACACTTACGCTTCCAAAATTGACATTTGTGACATTTGTGGGAACTTCAAGTGGGGATATAGGTGCCGGGCATGGTGTGACAACAGTGTCAAGACAATACCATTCAGGAGACTTGGTCTCTAATATTCAAAAGCATGAATATTTTGCTCAACTTTGGTTTTTACATGCATTCAGAGGTATTCTTCCCCTCTGTTAACAGGTAACAAGTATCTTAATATTCCTTTAGCATTTTACAAACATTATCTGAATCTATCATCGAGGATTTAGTAAGTAAATAGTTTAAACATTAGTTTACAGTTAACAGAGAGAGGTACTGTGCTGACGACTCAGACCCAAACACGGAGATAGGGAGTTCCAGGTTCCTAGCTCCCAGGTCAAATCAGGTTTTTTCTCACTGTTTCAGATTCACGTTCGTAACTGTAGTCACTGCAAGCTATATAACTATGATTTGTGAAATTAATAGGAACTACAGTAAAGTGCTCAGTAGCTCTCAGAATTGGTCATTAAATTAATATCTATCTTTCTGGAGTCAATTATCTTGCAGGTAAATGACATTTTGCCATGTTTTTCTATCCTAGGGTAGAAAAAATAGAAGCAATAGGAACATAACTGTCCCAGAAAGAGAGAAATTAATTACTGCTCTCCTTCTCCAGAAAAGAAATGTTGTCAGACTAATAATTGATCATGCTTGGGAAGGAAAGGTTCAAGAAACAAAGTCATGGCTCAGAGAAGCAATTTAGAAAAAGCATTAGTACTTTCTAAGTAAATGTCTGATTGCAAGGAGAGGATGACCTCAGAAACCAAGCTAGAGACTGACTGCACCTGATCCACCAAGAGATCATTCTGAATACAACAGAAGCTTAAATCAAATGGCCCTTGTTTAATTTATTATACAGTATGCTCTGTGTATCTCAAAAAAAATCACAGTACCTTCTGGTCTTTCACAAAAGATGCAGCATTGAATCAGTAGAAAAAATAGCAGTTTCAAGATCATTCGAAGCCATTAACCACTGTAAGACACTAGCAAAACTGTGGTGTTTGTGCTATAATATCCTATCCAGCAGAAACTTGTTTGTCCAATAGATACAGAAATGAGATAATTAAAACATCTTCCTCACAGTAATTCATACTTTTGTTATTGAATCTCTTCTTGGATATATGCCAACCAACCTAGGGACAGAGCCATTAGCAGGGTGGAGTTGCATCCTTCTGTTTACATTGTCTAGATTGTAGTGCAGAACATTCTTTTAAAAAAGAGAGGCAGAGTCTGGATTTCAGATGAGACCATTTACATATAAGCATGTGAATGTGACTTGAGTACAAGGCAGCAAAATTTTTTTTCCCCACACATTTTAGTAGCAAAATTATCCTACCCTGGGCAATCATTTGTTTCTACAACGCTCAGGTTTGCAGAGTATGCGAACGTGTAGTCATTGTAAGCTTTGGTTACTAGATAACACGGAAGCCAAATACCCCAGGGTGGAGGGTGGGGGAAGAAAAAAGAGAGAATACTCACGTATCACTGTTTGACACGTTATGTGGGCAACCCCACTTTTCATAGGAAAATCATTTAGATATACCTGTCCATTAACATAGGTGATATTAAAAACAACCTGAAAGACAGACAGACAGTCAGAATGAGTGTATGGTTCCTGGCCTTACACTACAATTCTGTTCCCAGAGGAACACACTTTGTACTGACTAAAGTCAGACAAAAAAATATATTTGCATCTACATGCAGACTTCATTTCACTGCATATTAATTTGCTGAATAAATAGAAAAACCGGACAAACCTGTCCTTTGTGAAATTCTCCACTGGTTTTCAACACCGTAACATTGACTCTGATCGTTTCCTGGAAGACAACAGTGAGGAGAGATGTAAGTTTCTGAGGAAACTCGGACGCCGCTGTGCAGGCCACAGGCAGCTTTCACACACTGTCCTGGCAGAATAACAATGCACAATCCCCAGAGCACGTTCCCAGGCTTTCTACCCAGCAGACAGAGAAAGAGCAATATGATTACTTGTTTCATGTAAGGGTTAGGGGTTTCCCCCCCGCCGCCTCTTTTCAACAGAGAAAGAATGACAGCTGCATCCCCCTATGTATAAAGTTTGGGGTTTTTTTAAATAAAGATAAATAATATTTATCAAGCTAAATTCTCAGAAGAACTTGTTTCACATGAATATAATGGAAAAGAAGTCTTTCATATCAGCTGAAAAATAATAGACAATACAAGGTAAAAATCAGATTCTCTGTAAATGTTTTGTAAGCACTCCACTAACTTCAAGGTGAAGTATAATGTAATAATGTTAGCCTATACTAAAGAACACTAGGTTTTTTCAGTGTCAGCAATGCTGCTTTCTTTTTTCTGGTTATCATTCCCAAATTACTCCACACAGGACACCTCCAAACACACAGCTAATGGGGATTTGCTTCCTTCTTTCAAATCCTAATTGCTGTAACTTATCAACTCACTCATTCTGTCCTCTCATTTCACCTTGTCATTTCAGGGGCTCTTTTGCAGATGGGACCTTAAATCTCCCAGGCCTGCCCCTGACAAAACCTACGTACAAAAGCCAAACCTCTCTTAGACACAGCCAAAAGTAATGATTGCCACACTGCTTTCCTGAGTCACCTCTTCAAAAATAACGTTAAGCTCCTTATTTGCCTTTGGGGAGCCTTAAATAATTCTAATCGCATTTCATTTTCCTCTGGAAAACTTCTCCATACCTTCAGCATCATCTTTAGCTCGGTGTTTGAGTCACGGTTTCACAATTAACAGCTAAAAAATGAGTCATGTCTCAATAGAAAGTTGAACTTGTGCAGAATTCAACATAAATTTTAAAAATTTAATGTAAATATGTTTGGGATTTTTATAAAACACCAAATTTTCAGGCATACCCAGTACCTAGCACAATATAGTCACAATTCACGAACAGAGAGCTTCTGAAGCGTGATTATAATGCAAAAAAATTCCTTAAAACAACGGGTGTTAATCAGTATATGCAGGTAGCCAGGATTACCAAAAGCTGAAAAACAACATCCAAATCTGATCCAGCAGACATCTGGCACCATGAGAAGCATGGTTTAAAATCTAACACTGATAACCTTGTGGTTGGAAATTACTTGTCATTGATGCTTCTGATACGTTTGTCAAATCAGTAGGGAAACTCTCTAGCCACTGAGACCAAAGAGAAATCTCTTTCTCAATGCCCTTTCTAGGAAACAGGTGTTTATACTGACTTTTCTTCAAAACTTAAATCCTAGCTATACAAAGTAAATGAAAATTACCAAATTACTTACGAGAATTGGAAGTCTACTACTGAAAATATAAACCAGATTAATAATATAATCATAGGATGTAACCTATTCTGTCATCCTGTAACTTCCTCAAACCACTTATTTTCTTCTCAAGATTTAAGAATGCTGTATATTAAAAATAAAAACCCACCGAACTTTCAGCTCTTTATCTAGCATTCAGAGCTGTATTTCTCTTACACCCTCAAACTACTGAATATTACCAAAACCTTCTGTCATGAATTCCCAGGTTTTTCTGTTGTCTGGGAGTTCAATGGGCCCAAAAGATGGATTTTTCCAGGCAGTCTTAATATTCCTTCAGTTTTTAAGCCTCAAATGAAATTTGAGTTCCTTTACATAGAAAGTATTTTGCAATCTTTTTTCAACATTTACAAAGTGACTCACTGAGAATACAAGAAAAAGGAAATGACTTATAGCCCGTAACTGCTGAAAAAAAGGAACACCCCCGCTACATTTCTTTTCTTATAAATCAAATGCTTTATTTGAAAACGGAGCACATGGGGCAAGTTAGATGTGCTCAGCAATTGAGCGTTAAATGTACAAAGTGAGCCATATATGTGATAACTAATTTTCTTCACAACTGTCAATTCTGTTGACATAGTATCCACAAGCACAGTCATTAACTCTGGTACATACTTAAAACTCGCACTTGAAGAGCATGTTACATGTTTAAGAGATTAAAATACTTCAGAGGATCACTTCCGTGCTGTCAACATTATAAAAAAAATAGATCATAGTGTGCAGACAAGTAAGACCGCTTAACAGCTCGCTGCCTCTGCCGCTACAAGAGAGTGTAGATCTCTCCTCTTCTGCACATCATCCTTCCCCTTCATTTGTGCCAAGCCAGCGAGCCAATTTAGCTCATCAAATTGTCGGGAAAACTTTCCCTTTTTTTGATGGACTGTTTTTCTGTCAGTTCGACAAGCAAGGAAGAGCCACAGAAGGACGAGAGATGCAAGCATGCAGCTGGGAGGAGGGAGCTGGGCTACTTGCTCTGACGGCCACAGGCTGTTGGACTGGCTCTGCCGCATGGTCTGCCTGTCCTCGCAGCAGCTCCCTCTGATCAGAAGCAAGGCGACGGGACATCCTCTCAACGGCACTGCTCAATAACCTAGAGCAATGATTAATACTGCACTACAGCAGCTACACCACGACCCTTGCAATTTTGTGTTCACAAACAACAGAGAACTCATAGTCTTGCCATTCTCATCACTAGTCAGCTCACATCCACATCCAGTAAGTTCTTCTACTGCTGACTCCCCATGTTGCGTACATCCATTCTCCTGAGTTGTCATATTTTGCCTCTTCACTAAGCAGTCTCAAAGACTTTGTGCCAGTCTTGCTAAGAAACATTTCAAATAGATCTCACAGATTTGGTGCTAACAAATTATCAGTTTTCAATTGTTCTTGCTCCAAATGTTCTCGAACTGATACAGAAACATCTCGAGGACCATAGGAAGACCAACTTTTCCAGAGTCAGAATCAACTATACCGATGTCATTCCTGACAGATGTTAATTTAACTCATTCTTAAAGCTCTTCAGTGATGTCCAAAAATTTCACACTCTCCTCAACTACTATTTAGTGCTCAGCTAGCTCTAACATTAAGTTTTCCTAATGTCTAACCTGAAGTTTCCTTGCTGCAATTCATGAACAGGTCTTTCATTACTCTTCACAGTATCTTCCCATGGAAAATAACAGTCCTCCATCTCAGTCCTCCTGATTTTATGCTAATGCTCCCAGCTCACATAATCCTTCCTTGGAGGTAAGTTCCTCAACTGCTGTCTTCCCACAGCTTCTCACGGGTCTTTCCTGCAGTGCCGCACCCAAAACTCAATAGGTCCTGCTGTGTCCAATCTTCCTGACCCTACACACCCCATACGAAAATCTACATGAAGACAAGAACCAGAAGACACATGCCAAACACAATGAAAAGCTGGGCAGGAGGGCTAGGGGGAAAGAGGAAGGAATTATTGCAAGCAGCTCACAGGAGAGCAGAGCTCCATCCCAGCAGACCCACTTTCATCCACAGCAGGGAATGGGTGATGCACGGCATTCCCCTGTTAACAGAACACCAGCTGGTACCCCCCTTGATATCTGCTTGTGAAAAAGTGCTCAAGAGCCGTAAGTTGTTACTGCTTGTAAACTGGGAGGGAAACAGACTGGGCAGGCCAATAGCTCTTGTACCATGCTTTCATGATGAAATTCCAAGCCTGACAAGCCATATGTGCTAGAAGGTGCTCCAGTGACAACTCAAATACCCATCAATCCTGTGGGTGAAGACTCACAGATTATGAAGCATCCTTTAATTTCAACAGAGAAAATACTTTTTTACATTACCATAACAAAACCCACTACTTAGGAAAAATAAAAAAAGAAAAATTAAAAAAGTGCTTATAGTTATATAGCTATGTCTTATGGCTATACACTTCAGTACTAAGAAAAGGAAATAACCCCACATCACTTATTTTGTGTATTAAAAGCACAGTAAGCCAATCCTGTAGCAACAAAGTCACTAGGAGCATGACATGGGTCCTCTGCAGTAATCCATAATATCACACTGCCAAGCTCTGAAGAAGGCTGAGCTGTGAGTGTAAAGCTTGTTTGTACAATTTACAGTACACTTTTCAGTGTTAATAATATAATGAAAGTTCACATCAATTTCAGACAGTCCTGTAACTTAAAAGGTCCTGAATTCACTGGAATATTTGAGAAAGCTGCACTTTGACAGAATGAGAATCAAAGGACAGAGCCAAGAAATTCAGGTCACTCAGGAATCAGGCTGTGCTTTCAGCTTACCATTGACACCCGTTCCATCATTCACAGCACCTTATCCCTTCCTGTGCTGGCGAATGCCTTCACACACAATTCTCCATTTTACACTAAAAATGGCCCCATCATTCTTGATGCTGTTATAGGATGTAGATGTCTCTCCTGAGTTTTGCTACAATTTCTCATCACTGTTTCAGTGCTCCAGCAGCGATATTTACAGTGGTAATGGCCACAGCACCTGTAAAGAGGGCAGCACTTCTACCACAAATGTATGTCATTCTGTTCTAGGACAGCTAGGCAACAGCAGTAACAGTGAAGCAACACATATTACAGTGAGCTAGTGAATTTTTGTGAACCTGCATCAATAGACATAAGAAGGTAGTGATCATTTTCTAATCCTTTCTCTTTCACCATGTGCTGCAACAGAACCCAGGAGTGTTAAATGAGGCAGTTATAATCACAGTAGTAGCAGAAGAGCAAGATGGGGAAAAGATGGCAGAAAAGACTATAAAGCATCTGGCATAAACTAAAAGGGAATATTCATTAATTCTTAAAGACTCTCCATTCCAATGCCACACAAATCTGCAGAGAACATTTCACCTAATCTTAGCCTTTTATGAAAAATGCTGCACAAGAGAAAGCTGTTGGGTCTAATCACGCAGGAACTTCAAACAGATCAGATTACAGAATCACGGAAGAACTTCCTGCACAGGCAGTGGGAAGAACCTGACGGGGTGCACCATACAGTTTCTCCCAGAACAGGGTAACTGTTAAGTCCTAGGCAGCTGCATTAGTCACAGAAACCCCATCTCGGTTCAGCCACTCGCAGCCAGCCCACTTCAAGCACAGCTGTTCTTGGCTGAGGCTCTCCAAACAAGGCTCTTTCTGCACTAGAAGGCTCGTGGGAAGCGGAGCGGGCAGCGCTAAGAACAGATGGCACAGTGCCTTGCAAGATGGCCAGCTGTACAGAGGCTTGGAAGACAGACAATCCCCTCGCAGCGATTACGCAGGCACTATTGGGATATCCTGTTTGAGATAGGAAAATATAAAGTCCAATGAAGGTTGCCAAACAGATAAGAAATAGTCAAAACTAGTAACTTGTTTCTAAATTTGAAAAGAGGTTACAGGAAAAAAGTGTTTGAACAGACAAGCAGAACTGCCACCCAATTTCATACCATTTGAGTCCTGACACCCACATGGACAACTGGCTCCAAACAGTGTAACTGTATATTTGCAACCCAGGGCTCTGTGATCTATGCTTCTCCTAATTCTTCCACCGAACTCAAAACAGAACAATGTTGTAGGATGAGTCTTAACGGCAATCAGGCATAACTGAGTTGAGAAATAATCATGGTACAAGTCAAGTCAAACTTGTCATGTCAAACAAGTTTGCAGGACGATAATTAGTCCCTGACATTTTGTAGTACAAAATCTCCAATTAGGTTTGGCATTATTAAACTGCATGACAATATTTAGGGTAAGATAATGAAATCCAGTATTCGCTTAAGTAACTAAAGCTGACCTATCTTTGTTAATATAAAAATCTTTTTATAAAAGTAAAGCTTTTGCTTTTCTTTTCTGAACAAGCACACTTATATTCTTTCCTTGCTTTGCAATGATTCTTAGTATAATATTGCTTATCCTTTCCTTTGCCCTACATATGTTGCTAGAATTAATCGCCTTTGCTTTCTCCCTATTAAATCAACTCATACTGTGAATATTTTATCAGGATTTTAAAAGGTAAATATTTTAGTCTCACATCACCAGCACATGGTTGCACCATACTGCTTTAATTTAATCAAATATACATGGAAAGATGATGTCAAATCTTTTAAGCATAAAGTTCAGCGCCAGAAGGTTAATAGAGAAACTGGCATAAAGCGATGAAGAAATGTTTCAGCATGTCACATAGCGACAAGCTGCTGCTTTGATTAAAATCTGCATACATACACAAATGGTCGATGTAGTGAAGATTACTTTCTTCTGCTGTGAAATAATCTAGCCACACAGAGGTTTCCTGCAGCCAAAAAATAATCTGAAAACAATGTTTTTCAGACAACTAAACTAGACAAAAAAAAAGTCTGCTAGGCAAGTAAGCCATTTAGAAAGAACACTGCAAAACCTAAATTATTAAGAGGCAAACAGAGTAGGCAAACAACATAGCATTAGCATTCAGTCCACTGTGCTTTTAGCCAGTTCCTATCAGCACATTAAAAAAATACTCCAAAACACAAAACCTAATTCTTGACTTTGCACCAGAAAAACGAGTTACTTTAATGCAAAGGTCAGTTGTCTTGTTGCATCATTCCATGCTTTTTTTTTTTAATTTTATCTAATATCAATCAACTGTAATCCCATTTTGCTCATCCAAATTTCAAGAGAAGAAAGAAAAATCAAAACACATATGCTAATGTTTTTTATTAAAAAAAAAACCCAGATTTCAAAACAGCTTATTTAAGAAATGACAAGCATTGCACAACAACGGAGGAGTTCACATTCCGGAGCTGAACAAAAGCGTTTCAGCCTTACAAAACGTTACTCCAATGTTTCAAGGTTTTTCCTCAGTCCTCCCACTATAATTTCTGTGACGTCATGGCCATCAGCTTGGAGGTAAACCTTAATACCACATACAAGAATTACAAACTGTGAAGCTATCGGTAGCACACTGCCAGTGGGCTCACCGAATTGCAGAGAGCACAGTCGTGGTATCCAGTCAAAGAAAAGCTGAACATGTTGATCTGCGTGCTCCCAACCAGTCTGCAGTCCCAAGCCATTCTGAGGAAACATCCCAATTATTGTGACCCCATCACCCACTGTCGTTAAGCTCATGGCTTCTGAAGCCAACCTGACAGTGCGGCGCTCCCGCTCTGCCTATTCCCATTGCCTAGGCCCTTTCATTCCTGTCAGGCCACCATAAACTAGCTCACACTCAGAGAACAGCAATTCTTCTACTCAAAACTTTCTCAAGATGTGTTGTTCCTTCTACATAAAAAATGATCTTGTATGTACACAAAGAAATAGTGCAGGAAGAAACACAAGTTTTTATTTTTTTAAGTTTGAGATTTAAAAAGAAAAAATACTAAAGTAAAAACGTGTATGCTCCCTTTTCGGCTCTTAAAAGAGCTTTTCTGCATATACTTATGCCACCACACAGTATAAAGCTGAAAAAGTGCAGACACTTCCAACTAGCAAAAGCTGAGCTGACAGACCACCTAAGCAGTACGGCACAAATGGACAAACTCAACCCCACAAACAGCACAGCTATGCCCATAAGGCATTACACCCCAGTTACTAAGCCAAGCCTTATCAACACTC